ATTTATTTGTATCTAAACTTTAAATTTATGCTAACCTAACTTCGAACAGGAATAACTAAATTTACATGTTACATTCTATTTTAGTCACTGGCATTCATTTTAACGGTATCTAAGGGATATTATCGATATATCGAATTGTTGGTAACACTTCGATTATTAACGATATATCAAATTATCGATAACTTTTCGATATTACCGACATTGGCGCCTATACGTATACGTTTAATAGCATTCGATACACGTGTACAGTATGTATGTATACTAATTTATTTATGAGATTCGTGCTTTACTATTTATATTTGACTGTTTGTATGCAACGGACGAAATTATGAATACATAAATACATTTCAATGAGAAGTATGGTTGCGTGGACTTCTATTAAAAGTAAATGCTATTTCTACGTCTTCAGCGAGTACTACTACCGCAATATACGTATAAATACCTCAATTTGAACAAAAATGTTTTTACGTTTACCATTCCATTTTACATTAAAAAATTCCATGTACATCTAGTTTATTGCAAATCACAGTGATAAAAGGTACAGTAGAAAAAAAAAACAGTTTTACTATTGGAGCAAATTGTCTAATGGCATTTCCACCTTCAGGATATTAAATATGAATCTATACTGAAATATTAACTAAGAATATTATGCTATACAGTTATAACCTACGATGTTTCAACTTTAAATAATCTTTTGTAAATTATTTCTCGAGATAAATTACTATTACGTATGTCGTAATAATATATATATTTTTTAGTGAATATTGAAGTTTAGCAAGTGTTAGTTAATTTTGATATAATATAAGTATTATTATTTATTGACAAATTTTTTTAATTTGGATCCCTTCGAATTAATAAATTTTCAAGTTTAGAAATTTAAAGAGTTAAGAATTTAGAAATTAGGAATTTGTTCTTTTAAAAATTCGATAAACTGAAGATTTGGTAATTTGAAAATTGAGGCTTTTAGAAATTTTAGAAATTTTTAAATTTCAGATTTGCAGATTTGGAAAATTGGATGTTTGAAAATGTAGGAGTTTAGAAATTTGTAAATTTGAAAATATGAGAACAAGTTAGAGAAGCTACAAATTTGGAATATTGGAACTCTCATGATTGAAACTTTTAAAAATTTGGTCTTCTATAAATTTGAAAATTTGGATAGTTAGATGTTTAAAAATGTGGAAATTCGAAAATTTGGAAATATTGAAATTTGGAAATTTGGAAGTTTGGAAATCTGGAAATTTAGAAATTTGGAAATTTGAAAATTTCTAGATTTCAAATATAAAAATGTTGCGGCCTAGAAGATTTTCATGTTTACACATTTGAAATTTCATAATCAAAGACAGGTGGTAGAAGACTTCTCTTCCTACACTCGTTCTTATCCAGAGGTACCCTACGTTGCACTGCAGTATACTATTTTCTCGTACATCTGCGTTAATTCTCGTTCAAGTAAATTCGAGTTGTTATTAACACATTTCAGACATGTGTGCACAATACACTTGCACTTCTCATAAAAGTATTTTTCTCAGTCGTTCTCCGTCAATCTTCGCATTCACAGTTCAACATCTTCATCCTGTATCTTGGGATTGTTCAAGGAACAAAAGTGTTCCTATCTAACCGTAACTATCTAATTCGCGTGTGTAGAGAAAAAAACAGAAATTTGTTCATTTTCATGATGGAAGAGTAGTACGCAGTGAGACAAAATTCATATTTTCTGTAACTTTTTAATTTATGAAAAATGCCTTTATAAACTTGACATTATGAACAAACGTTTTTAATTGTTGATAAATAAGACATATTGGAACATATTGGATTTTTATAATTTTTGCTTTCATTCTGTTAGTGATATACAAATTTTTTTGTAAAATTATGTTTTTGTCTTGTTGTGTGTGACATACTGAGACAAAACTGGAGTCATGCTGAAATAAGGTATTTTGTTTATAGAATTGAAAAACTGAAATATATAAAAATAGAATAAAAGTATATGAACAAAAGACAAGATTAAATACTGTTTTTCACTTGATAATTCTTTTATTTTTAACAACAAATTTACGGACGTTGCATGAATATTTATTTTTAAATTAAACTTGAAGTTCAAAAAATAAACATAAACTAGCGTACACAGTGTTTCTTTATGTTGACAAAAGTTAACGTACAAAGCTTTGTAATAATTTCTGTAATATAAACTAAGAAGTTTATGATTTTTGACGTGTTCGGTAAATCTAGTGTTAAATTATTAATTTTTTATTTTTTTTTATAAATACTGAATGAGACACACATTTTACTGCAGACATGTTGGATGGCATGAAGAATTATAATTATTACACGTACAAAGACTGGTCTCAATATGTGTCATAACCTTCATTTTTCTGAAAAAATTTAATTTTATAATTGGATTATGAGTCCAGTAATTTATTGAGTATATTTATAAATTTAACAATAATTAAATTAATTAATTATTAACAAATATTTTATAAGGGAGGGTAAATTTCACGATAATTATTAATTGTGAATTAAAATAGAATTTTATTTTGAAATTAATAATAGATAAATTGTGTGTCATTCTGACAAGTTTTGAAAATAAAAACTAACATTTACTGCGTGATGATTGTTTGACCATTTCTACGTTAACCTGCAATTCATCGTGTGACTAACTAGATGCGATTATCCATGATCAACAAATTTTAAGTCTTTGATATCATACATGATATTGAAAAATATGAGATATACGGTCACTTTGAATCAGTAGAAAAAACATTTTACAATTTCTGCATGAAATAATAAATTTACGTGAAACTACATAAATCACGAGAAGAGTTAACGATTATAAAATTGTCAAGTTTTAATGGTTAGCAATTACATGAACGAACACCATGGTTATTAATAAGCTGTAGATAGCGAAATTTCCATAGTTCCACCGTAAATTTTACATATTTATCATTATCGATTAAGTTTTTAATTGTTATCGATTGAGATAATGAGATGTTAAATTTCTGTTTCGATTTCTCTTGTTTACTTTATTGGTACCTCTCGATTTTGCGCTTTATTTCCATATTGTAATTATTGCCATATTTGCTGTCGCATTGCAAATTCGAGCGAAATTACCATAGTTACGGCTTTTTCTCTTGTTCAACTGTGTAAGTACTGTGTAATATGAAAAAATGTACGTTTTATATTATTTTTATCTAATAATACAATATATTTTTAGGTTAGTTTAGTATTTCAAACGTGTTAAAAAGGAAATTATTAAATAAGGAAACCGAAATAACTGCTTAAAAAAATGCAGTACTTTCTAAGAGAGAAATTGTTCTAAAAATACAAAGATCACATACATAATAATTTTATTCGATTATGCGATTTGTAAAGAGGTAAAAAGTTAACTCGAAGATATATTTGTTAATTTTTCAAACCACAAGAAATAAAAATGTAACAGTGGATCAGTAACAAACAGATTTATATCTTCCAGTTGTGAGACGGTGTGCAATAAATTTTACGAAGTAGTAACCGTTTTGTATGGACAAAACTTGGTTGAAAACCACATTTGCACTCTGCCACAAAAAAGCGAAAGACTACGTTTGCGGAAAGTCACATGATTCGAAGAAAAGAATGGAAATACGTAATTTTTTCAGAACGAGAAAAAGTTTCAATCAGATGAGTCATATGATTTTAACACTAGGTTTATGAAATGTGCCAAATGATGCATCTTAGATTCCTTATTTTGAATTACAGAAATTATTAAGATGCTCCTGTCGAAATTTTATTGAGAAGAAGAATAATTGTATAAATTAATTTATGTTTTAACCTCTGCATATTTATTGTTGTATTTTATTTTTAATCCAAACGTAACTGCATATCGAACGTCCGTAAACCTAGTGTTAAGTTCATTGACTATTTGACCAAAGATCAAGATGTCCCCATGAGACGAAATTTTGGAAACGTTTTGACGGCTCTTAACGATAAGCGAACAACACGAATATGCTAGACATCAAACAGAATTAATTTCGTAAAGTACGTACAAATATTGGCGGACGTTTTAATTCCATTCATGGAACAATCAGATTCTGAAGAGTCGATATTCCAACAAGATAACGCAGCCGTCTGCGGTTCAAGATTTACAAAAGAATGGTTTCAGACTAAAAATATTCAGTTAATGCAGTGGTTTACCCGATTTCCTGATTTAAATCCAATTGCAAACCTTTGGGGAATTCTGGTTAGTAAGGTGAACGCGAATGCAAAGCTGTGTACTATACTTTTGGAGTTTAACATTAAACCTATCAACGTATAATGAATGCTTTGAAATTAAAAATGAAGTTAAAAAATACATAATAAAACATTAATAGTACACACATTAATTTTTTATCTTGAAAAATATTGCAGATTTTAAGAAAAACTTAATAAATTTTGTAATTTAAGGAATTTGTAAATTGATCATTTGCTTGGTTTGATTTCAGTGTTAAATACAGTAAAAAGCAAGCTTAGGGTATTGTAGATAATTCAGTCCTATAAATTTTCGATTAAAAGTATAACAAAATTTTCAATGTAAAAAAATGGTGCACATTATTACTACAAATGCAGAAACATATATTCATTGAAAATTATAGGTTCTGAAATTTATAATAGAAAATATTTATATTTACATATCACAACCATATCATAAGATTTTGTAAAATGAATATTTCTTATGTATACAATATTTATATATAAAAGTCGGGAGCCGTAGTTTGGTGACCGTTGAATTAAATGAATCATAGAAATTTCATACATTATTTTTTTTAAATTACATATTTTAAAACGAATACGTATTTTATTCAAAATTAATCAATCTTCGTAATCGTAATGTCACGACGACAAACAGAGTACTTTAATCTCTACAAAAGATCTAAAATTTTAAAAAAACGTTATAAGGAAATAGAAAAATTTCGGTGCCTGTATAACAGTGTACCACGTGCACTGTCCCCTCCTCGTATGAGCTCATCGGTAACGGATGATTGTAATGTTTACAGGCCAACACAGAATTACGTAAACATCAAGAGCAGCAGTCCGGTGTCTCCGCGAACGGTAGGAGCAGCGGTTACGTATGTCCAGGGTGGTGCAGCCGCATCTTCAGCGGCGGCAGCAGCGGGGACAGTTGGAAGTGGAACTGCTGGAGGTCCTTCAATCGGCGGAGGCGGTGGCGGTAGCGGCGGCGGTGGCGGCGGTGTTGGTGTTGGTGTTAGCAACGCGAGTGGCGCAAACAGCGGAACCGGAGTCGTTGGGGCTGGAGCTGGTGCTGCTGGTGCTGTAGGGAACGTAGCTGCAGCCGGAAGTGGAAATAGCAGCGGTACCAGTAACAGTGCCGCCGGTGCAGGGAGTAATAGTGGCGGGAACAGTGGTACAGTGGGTGGCGCACCAGGAGGTTACGTTGCTGTACCCATGGCCGGTGGTTTACGATACATTCATCCGTATCCACCGACACCGACATCGGCGTCGGTGCCAGCTGTAGCAACGGTCGTCACATCGGCTTCGTCGGCACCGACTCCAGTACCAGTTCCACCACCTGCGACCGCACCTGCGAATCCACCTACAGTCAGTCAAACGCCACCACCATCGCTTTCGGGAACTGCTTATACCGCCAGAGATGCATATCGCAGCGCCACCACCAATGTAGGTATTTTCATCTTCGAATCATTTGTTATGGTTCGAGATAATCACCTGATAAATGTGACTGTGCTCGTGAAAGTGGTCTAGTCAGGGGAATGCACGACCTTCGGTACACTCGATTTCTTTCGAACTTAGCATAATCGCTGGACAGTACGGAAGTCGGAACTTCATGAAGTTCTGACGTGAATACTTGTGAAATAACAGTGAAATTCAAATTCGGAACTTTGGGAATTGTGGAACGTTAAGATTTGAGAACTTGAAAATTTGGAAATTTAAAAATTAAAATATTTTTAAAATTATACTTCAAAAAATAAAATACGTTTAAATAGGAATATTAAAAGACTTGTGAGTTTCTAAATTTGGACATTTGAGAGTTTGAAAATTAAAGAATTTTTAAATATGAAAATTTAGGAACTTGGAAATTTTTAAGTGTCCGAATTTCTAAATTTGGCGGTTTAACAATTTAAAACTTTGGGAATTGGCAATTTGGAAATTTGAAAACTTGTACAATTATAAATTTGAAAATTAAAGTTTAAATATTTTTAATTCTGAATTTGATAAAATTATAATTATACTAAAAATGAATATATGCATTTGTTTTTCATTTGTTTCGTTAGTAACATAACAAATTATAATTCTATAATTTTTGTTATTGTTAGTCACCAAAGATGACATATTAATTATCAAGATAATGTCATATTATCGAAATATATGTTCGTATTAGTCATACAATTTTAGAGTGATAAATTTGACATTAGAGGTACACGTATTTTGTTTTGTTATGAAAAAATGTTGTTTTCAACATTCTTCAATTCTAAAATTTTCTCAAGTTCTTAAATTTGTCAAAACTTTCTCAAGTTTTCAAATTCTTTAATTCTAAAATTTTTAAACGTTCACAGAGTCCAAGTTTCTAAAGTCTCATTTCTGAATTTTTAAAATGACAAAGTTTAAGAATTTTTAACTTTACAAATGTTTACATATCTAAGTTAAAAACTTACAAGTTTTCAAATCCTAAAATTTCTGAATTTTGAAATTCCCAGACTCCAACTTCCCAAATATCTAAATCCCCAAATTCTCAAATTTAGATATTTTTACTTTTCAAATCCTTAGATATGTAAATTTCTAAACTTCTAATTTTCAAAAATCTCTGATCCACAAATCACTAAGTGCACAATCCATAAATTTTCAAATTCCCACGTTTAAAAATCCCTAAGCTCTCAAATTCTCAAATTATCACATTCCTAAAGTCCTAAATTTAAAAATCTACCAGTCAAATATTAGTTCTTCTACATCGCCATTTTCCCAGGAGAAGCTTACAGTGTCCGTCGGTGTGTTTACGACAGAATCGTAGCGACTAAAAGTAAATCGAGACTAGACGATTTTGGTTTATGTTTACAGACGCTGACAAGTGTGCACTGAACAATAATCTTGTGTGTATGATTGAATGTTTGGAACGCGTTACACGAAACAAGCGTATATAGGTATTACCTCGACTCTGCCCTTGACTTTCACCCACTATTAGCCCTCCCCCTTTTTCCCCTCTGACTAACAATGTAACCTATCTCCTTTGTTGCAAACATCGCACCGATTTGAATTAATGCTGCCACGAATTTAAAACCAGACTTCGCGATAAATTTCTATCTTGAAATTCTTTATCAGGGTACATTTACCCGAAAGACTTTTTACTTTAATACTTTCGAATTTTATCGGCGAGTCACGTGTTTTTGTATCATCGATCAAACAATTACACGATGAAATATTATCTTATTTTCAAATGTAATCTGAGGTTTATATATTGCTTTCATGAAATTTGATTTTTTTTTATTTGATTGGTTGATCATAATTTTGGTTGTATTAACCTTCGTTTTTAGATCAGGGAACTTGCAGTAGGAGAAAATGCATAGTAACGTACTCACGAGGTCAATGGCATAATGATTACATTTTTTCTTGCATTGAACGTTTTGTGTTATTCAACGAGTTAATGAAATGAAACATCAGGTTTCTTTTTTTTTTCATTTGTTGTCAACGATTGAATTTTATGTATGCTCAATAATTTTTTTGTTTTTAGTGAAACGTATACATTTTTTAATTCTAAAAATTTTAAATTAGCATTTTTAAATTTGTAAACACGCAAATTTTCAATTTTAACTTTAGGTTTTCAAAAATTCTCAGATTTCTACGTTTTCAAATTTCTAAATTTCCACAGTTATCAAACTACTATATTATCAAATTACTACATACAAATTACCATAATCACATACAAATTTCCAAATCTCCAAATTTCTAAATCTTCGAATTCCGAATATACAAATTTAAATATTTATACATTGTCAAATTATCAAATTTACAAATTTATAAATTACCAAACTCTTAAGTTTTCAGATTTCCAAACATTAAACTCCTGTGTTTAATTCCACAGTTTGCAAATTTTTAAATTTTCAAGTTTGTAGATCTTCAAATTCCAACATATATAAATTTTCAATTTCCAAATTGCGAAATTCCTTAATTTTCAAATCTCCAAATTTATAAATTTTTAAATTACCAGGTCTGGAAATGACCAAAATTTTTAAAACTTAAAATTCTCCATTATAAGCTCAAAGGTTTCACTTGCAACGTATGTAATGGGCACGTACGTATTTTTTTGTTTTACACCATTTAACGAGCGATTCGAACGCGCACAACGTTATATGTTTGTGTGCGTGTACGATTATGGCCATAGATGGTGGTAAGCTGGGTGAATAGTAGAAAGCGACGAAAGAAAGAGGGAAAGAGAATAATGGTAGAGCTTAGACACAATAAGAGTGCAAGGAACGTATGACGGTGTTGTAGGTATATTGATAGTATACCGTCTGCCCTCTTGAACCGGGTCATCGATTTTCTTGAAATAGGTTCGCGCCGAGAAGGTTAGGCAAGATAAATTGAATAATACGCGTACAAAAAAGAACAAAAGATGAAAGAGAAAGAATGAAAGAGAGAGTTCAAAGGAGGGATGAATTTTGATTAAAGTATTTCTTTTTCTACTCTTTTTCAGGTGAACGAAAGGATCGCTATTAGCGTGAGCAGTAGTCCTTTATCGCAAATAGGAGTCGGTGTTGGAGTAGTTACAGCCGAATATGCGGCGAATAGCGGTATAAGTAGTGCCATGGCTGGTGGAAGGGGGGATAGACCGAGGATATCTCTTTTACCACCTGCTTCGGTGACGCCGACACCTTCGCCGACAGCGCCAGATTATCAGCACGTGTCCAGTGCAAGAAATTCACGAATAGGCCTGATGCCCGTCCAACCGGATCAGTATTGCAGTCGTACGGCCGTTGAGATGGCCAACCTGCAGGAGGCGCCGCCCTTCAAAAAAATACGCCTGGTTCAACCAACCCAAGTTCAATCACAGTCCCAGTCGCAATCTCGCTGTCAGAGTTTGTCACCTGCTGACCCCTGTGGAAAACAAGAGCACGTGGTGCAGTTGCAGCAACCACTTAGGATAGACACTAGGGTGGGTAATAACGCGCACTTGGGTACAACGTAGGTTTTCTTAGCTAACAACGAATATAGGGGTTCGCCTACCATCACTTGCTTTCGGTTTCTGGGGAGCAAATGCGCAAACTTCGAAACTTTCAAATTTTCTAACATTTTTATATTTCTAAATTCACAATTTTTCAAATGTTCAAATTTCTAAATTTCCAAATAACAAAATTACCAAATTTCCGAATCCTTACATTTCCTGATTTCCATGTTTCCAAATTTCTGAATTCTTTTAATTCTCAATTTACCAAATTATAAAATTTTCAAATCCTTATGTTTCTCAGTTCTTAACGTTCCAAATCCCCAAATTCTTAAATTTCCATATTTTTAAAAGTTCAACTTTCCAAAATTCCAAACCCCCGAATTATCAAATTCCTAAAATATAAAATTCTGAAGTACCCCAATCTCTAAGACCTTAAATTTGAAAACTTTGAATTTTTAAATTTAAAAATGTATGAACCAAGAACTAATGTGTGATGGAACTTTACTTCCACATTGCCATTTTTTCTAGGGAAGCTGTAAGCTTTCCAGTGTATATGCGTATATAAGATGTCCCAATATTAGAGGTATAAACTTGTGCAGAATATGATTATTTGTACAAATAAAGGTGAAAAGTAAACAGTAAGGTTTTTGTATATGATGCATCGTTTAAAAAAAAACGACTTTTTAAATTTATTAAGAACTTATGCGTTTACTAATTGTAAGTTTTGATTTGACACATCTTCACTGTTGTTTGTGTTTGTATTTGTAAATAACAGCAATGTCATTGACATTATTTAACTTTAACAAACCTCCATATTTCATATTATGTAGGTTTTAATTGCAAATTAGTCTGGAAAGAGCAGGATATTGAAAAATAAGTAGAAAACATATTTTGGTTTTTAGAGAATTGAAAAGTACTGTATAACAAGTTAGTTTATTGAGCAAAATTGCATGTGCAGCAGTATAGTCGATATTTTAAACAATTACTACAATAACTCTCGCAATACTATCTTCGCATTATACTCCACTTTGTTTGGTATACCTTGCGCATCATCGAAATTGTTAATACACACGGTTTACTGATATTATAAAAAATAGAGATAACTAATGTTTTACTGTATGCACATTTTTTAAATAACGTTAACACATTAAGAAGAGAAGGACGATTTTTTGTAATTCGTCTTATGTATCTAATACAACTAGATTACATGAAAGTATATATATTTGTGTTGTCAGCACTCACAATTCGTTGTTAATATTGAGAGCAGATTTAAAATAGAATATTTTTTTAAGGAATTATGAATTTGGAGTTTATAGTTGGAGTCAATTTGACCACAGATGGTGCGGTAGGCTTAAATGTATAAGGAAAAACATGTTTTAAATTTTGTATACAAATATACTGGCTCTGTATTTCATTATAGCGTCAGTCGCAGAGCATTTGTCCTTCAAGAGTTAACAAAATTTATTTTGGAAAGGAGTAGTCTCATTCTAGCTTGTGAAATCATTTTAATTCAATTCAAAGTAAAAGAGATAAATAGAACAGATCCTCGGTATATAACATAATAACAGTGACAAATTCAAATAATGACATTGCCTATGTTTATAAATACAAACATTGAGCAGAAACAAAGGTCTATCAGATACAGAGTTACAGTTAATACATATGTTTCTGGCAAGTTGTCAAAGTCGTTTTTCTTGAAAACGACGTATTATGAACAAAAATTTTGTTTTCATTTTTGAATCTGGTTTTAAATGAATAATTATACTCTACCCGGTTATGCCACTACTTCTGGGACATATTATACAGACTACAGGCAAAATGAGGTATTTTGAACCATTTTTTAGAAATAGAGGTATGATTATCTGACAAAGCTTCTTATAATTTAAGTAAAGAACAATTTGTTTCGAGTAAAAGAGGATAATATTTGTTGAATTGTGAAAATATGGGAAATCTAATATCAGTTTTTATTTAGACGCGTTTTATTATAGAATAGGATACATTAATTCGATATGATATTATATGGAAAGTGTTTGCTAGGAGCAGCCGACTACAGGAGTGTACACGCCGCAAACAGAAGCGATATCACCGACGCTTCCGGAACCGAATACACAGGAAGATGCGCAGTTTAGAAGCACGAAGGATGATCTTTTGCAACAGATCGCCAAGGTTGACAGAGAGATTGCAAAAAGGGAGTCGCAGATAAATAAACTTAGGAAAAAGTTGAAAGAATTAGAAGAAGCAGCGAATAAACCTCTAGAAGCTAGTGGGCTTAAACGTCAAGTTGAAGAACAATCTCAGCAACCAAAGCATCAGTCTCTGGCACAAAAAATTTATGCTGAAAATAGGGTAAGGTTTCAATACAAACTTTGCTTTTAGTTTATTTTACACTGTACTCTTAGGTGCAACGTAAGTTTACTTTTGTAAAGATCAGAATAGAAGGAGGAGATCCTACTATTTGTTTTTCATTTCGGCAGAATGTAGAAATACATACTTCATGCCTTCCTGTTCTCACATGCAAAGAAGAAGAATGAACAAAGAAAATAGTTGAGATCTTTACACTTTCCATTAATCAAGGAAAGCTTAAGTTGCACGCGACAGTACATACTGTACATTCTTCACATTCTTTGGAGTCAACCTGTTAATTGGATAGAATAAATTGATTCATTTCTTAGAATTACAATTTCTATAATTTCCACAATTTTCAAAAGGTTTCAGGATTTTATTTCCTGAATAACTTATTGACAAAGTTTAAAAGCTTATTTAAATAAGAAACGACGATATGTAACGCATTAGTATTAAAATATAATATTAATTGCAGAGGAAAGCAGAAGAAGCTCATCGACTCCTAGAGAGGCTGGGTCCAAAAGTGGAATTACCTTTATACAATCAGCCGTCAGATACAAGTGTGTATCAGGAAAATCGTACAAAACATCAAACGTGTATGAGAGCAAGGCTTATAGCGAGGCTTCGACGTGAACATGCAGAACGTGCATCTCTTCATCGACAACAGTCACAAACGTACGCTATTTTGGTACAGGAGTGGCATCGTAAAGTAGAGCGGTTAGAAGCAACGCAGAAAAGGAAATCGAAAGAGGCGAGAAATCGCGAATTTTTCGAAAAAGTATTTCCAGAATTACGAAAACAAAGGGAGGACAAAGAACGTTTTAATAGAGTTGGTGCTCGAATTAAAAGTGAAGCTGATCTAGAGGAAATTATGGACGGCCTTCAAGAGCAAGAGGTATATTGTTATTTTATACCGATAACGTTCATGTTGTATAATGTTACACCACTAATTATATGACATATTATAAAAAGATGAGAAGGGGAAAGTTCACAAGCATTATTATTAGGGTTTAGAACAGTAAAGAATGACATTACAAGGTTGATTGAACTTATATTCCAAGTTCTATAGAAAACAAATGTCTAATTATAAAAAACAATTACTGTTACTTAAAAACTGACGGTCCACTATTCTTCATTTCATTGTTCTAATATGTGACTATAAAAAGAATTTCGTTAAAATTCGTTTCACTTCTAAAGATACTTAATTTTATTAAATAACTTCAGTCTACCATATAGTTACTATTGTTATTTACAACACAGTGCTATTTATAATTAAATATTTTTAAAAAAGAAGAGGATTCTGTAAAGAACTTTCGTAATGTACAATTATTAAAGTGTGTATTTGATATGTCTTTTGTAACATTTGTATTCATTTTTATTCTACTATTTTTACAGATGGAAGATAAGAAGATGCGGTCGTACGCAGTGATACCTCCTTTATTGCTGGATACAAAGCAAAGGCGAATCGCGTTTCAAAATCGGAATGGTCTTCTTCAGCCAGAAGAATTAGAGGCTCTTCACAGCGAACGAAAATTAATTAATGTATGGAGTTCTGTGGAGCATGAATTGTTCAAAGAAAAATATTTGCAACATCCTAAGAATTTTGGAACGATAGCTCAATCTTTAGAACATAAGTCCGTTCCAGATTGTGTGCATCATTACTACCTCACTAAAAAAGCAGAAAATTATAAGCAGCTCTTGCGAAAATCGCGGCAACGAACACGTAGCTCTCGGAATAATCCTAATAATAAAGTGAGTTAATTTACAATAATGTTCTTGTTATATCAGATATATTTGGTTACAGAGAACTGTAACGAATGAATTAATTTTGTCACAATATTGTATATTTATTTTGTTATTAATTTTGCAGGTAAATAATACTAGTTCAAGTATTGGACCTATAGACATATTAACTACGGGTGTTACGACGAGGTTGCAACGTGAGCAGCAACAAAAAACACAAGAGAATCCTCAAACTAATTCGACAGCAACAACAACCACGACGACCACGACGACGACTACAACTACGTCTAGTGTGTCTACATCCGCTGCAACAACGATAGTGACTACTGCAGCTACTTCTTTGAGTACAGCAACGTCGAGTATATGTATAAGTACAGAATCTGTAATAGCATCAACAACAGCTACAACGACATCTGTACCGAGTACCACGACATCATGCGTTACGACATCGTCGTCGACGACAACAAGTGCGAAGGACAATAGGGAAACTAACAAAGAAAATAAAGAAAGTAAACTGGAAACTAAGGAACCACACCTTGTCAAAGTGGAAGTGAAAGAAGAATCACAGTGGGTGAATTCGGATACAGTGCCGGGAAAGGACGTTAAAGTAATGTACGTATTATGTTCTCTCCCTTTTCTTCACATAAACATTTTTATTTAAGTAAGAGCAAAATTTACATTAGAATTATTTTTGTCATATTGACGTAATTATAATTTGACATAAAGAATAGTACATTTCTAATTCTAAATAGGAATTGTTAAACTGAATTTACGGTTCATTAAAATTCCAAATATATCCATTTTTTTTTATCTGGTAGCTTAGTAAAAAATGGAATTATTTGATTGAGCAATTTAAAAATTTTATTTGATACACAAAATGAATGGTAAGAATTATTATATATACGATTTAATAAATTATTGTTACATATATAACCTTTAAAAAACTAATATAAATATGAGTTACTAAAATATTTATTCTTTTTTTTATACAGGGTGAGAAACATAACTGGAACCACTTCGATAACGTCACAAGTAATGACTGTGACAAAACTTGATTTAGACGAATACTGTATGATTCTAAGTCACATAGTGTACCGTTTGATTTTATTTTATTACTTATACTTTTTTCATGATCATTTTTAATTTCTTAATTGGAAACCGTTCGTTTGTCAACGGTTTTCAACCGTTGTGTGAACAACGTTCACACGTTGTGTGTAATATTACGGTTTTAAAAATATGCTGTTTTAATCAATTTATTATGACATGAATGTTATATGTAGAATATTCTTTTCATACATGCTTATATATTAGATTTATAAAAAGTATTATTTTTATTATTTAAGCGCTACATATAACAGAGTAAATAGTCCTAAACTATGATGTTCGAAAAATGTGCTTGTATAGACGACCACGCACTCACATGCATCATTTGAAAATTATAATTTTGTATTTATTTTAAAGTGCATAAATGTAGTTTCTACTACGTGTAGGCTTTTTTAAATATATTATTTACAAAATAGTAAACATTTAAAGAAATTGTATTTGATTTTTCCAAAAGCACTAACAATTTTGGTCGGTATTTTGAACAATTATTTTCTCTAGATGCATATATATTAAAATAGGTCTAAATCTATAATGTTCGGATGATGTATGTGATCAGTATTTACTCTGTTCTATGTAGCGTTTAGATAATGGAAAAATGTTTTTGTAGATTTAATATATAAATATACGTACATGAAAAGATGAAAATGTTCAACACATAAGATATAGGTCACAATAAGTTCATCAAAAGCAGTATAGTTTACTTCCGTTACTGTGTTGATGTTCCTTCGAATGTTCAATAGAACAATTTTATAGAAATTTTATCAATTAATGCATTGCAATCTAAGTGATGTTGGTGCATGTAGTATTGATACGTATAATGTTTGAAAGATTCGTGACATATCTTATAAATTTTATTTTTGCTATAACGACAATTTTACGTATATTGAAACAGTATATTTGTTTAATAATATGTGTTGTCCTTAAAGCCCAATACATTTTCAGAATTTTTTTTTGAAACTTACATGCTGGAAACAGTATTTGGTTGTATTGTTGCACAAATGTTGCTCATTTTTCAATGTTCATCTTCGAAAGTAACTTGTTACGTCTGATACACTATAGATTTTTGAAAAAAATTTACGTTACCTTAGTTGTACGTTTCAAGCATAAGATAGACTTTAATGTGTTAATTGGTAAAATTTCATTAAAAATCTAGTAACCATTTTGCACAATATGCATATAAATTTGTTTCAAAATATTAATATTAATTGGCAGCTTTCTTTATAAAGAAAGTTTCATTTTTATTTAATCGATTAAAGATGACCTTGAAATTTCTTAAAATATAAACAAGAAAATATTGGATAGTACATTATACGACTTTCTTAGAATCATATAGTATTCGTCTTAATGGAATTTTTGTTGCAATTATAATTTACGACATTTCCGAATTGGTTTTAATTATGTATCTTATCCTGTATATGCAACAATTATTTCATTATTCTTTTCTGAAACTTAATGTAGAGTTATATTTATTTTTAAATGTATATCTTAGGAATGTATAGTACAGTTCCAAAAATAGGTGTTATGAGTCATACAGTGTCTATCTTTATTAATCAATACTGGTTTTAATTTCACTTTCTTCGATACTTTCAGTTCTTGTGGAAGCAAAACTTAACGTGTATTGATTCTTGAATTTAATATCCAGTATAGTTTATTTCATACATCATGTGCTCGTAATAAATAGTTGTATTACATCTAGTTCACTATTCAATAAGTAAAATTTACATGCAATCGAATTTATAATTGTGAATATATATGTGTAGAAACATGCGAAATAAATAACCGTTTCGGTTTCAATTGCTTACTGAAATGATAAATTTTTAGGCAGAAATTGGGGAATCAAACAATGAATATATTACATTTTATTATAGTTACTGTTCACAAATACTTGTGCTTATGGCAAAATATTTATATAAATAATTATAAACTTTTATCTACGGTTTTTAAAGAAACGCAATTAAGCAGATTTATTAATAGAATTAATCACTTGGATGACTCTGAGAAAATATAATTCTAAATTTAAAAAATTATTTTATTGGACTAATAAAATTATTATTCATTATTCCTTTTCAATGCAATGCATTAAAAGAATTTTTGTATATTTAGTTTGTTTGTTTGAAAATTTCTGATTTTATAGGGCACATAATAGTATTGTATTTTATAGGCTTAGTACTATAAAATTTTATAGTACTGCTAAAGTAATAGTTTTTGAAACAAAAGTGGGGTATAGCTTTGGACCAAATTGAATTTTCTAGTCTATATTATTAGAATGCTCAGATTACTTCATAAATGTCTATCTATGTTTAGATTGCTTCAGTCTGTAAGCCACATATAAATAATGTATTTATGTATATGGAATATGTTCTGAAGTTACGCTCTCATACATTACTAAGAAATGTCTGAAACAATATTTCATTACAATAATTTATTCCATATATAATGAAGAAAATGACTATAATTGCAGAAATAATTTCAAATTATACGGACTACATGAATATTAATCACAATACTTAATTATTAAAATAATTTCCGCACAAAGATTTCTTTTCTTAGAAACAATTATTATTATTGTATTTTTATGAGGTTGAAGTCCTTATTTTGTCTTTCTGCTCTGATAGTTTAACAAAAAAATGCTCTTAACGAAAGTTTATAATGCAAAATAAACCTTTCAAAGCACCTTTATCACTCTGTACATGACGTGGTTTAAACCAAACACTGGCTTGTGTTTCTTTAAGTAGCATTATATATTTCCCTTTTATATTCTTAAGACATGAAAAAATCTATTTAATTAAAATAGCATTATGTGCTACTTTTGTTTAATTTTGAAATAATTTCATTTATTTGTAAATTACAGATTACGAGATGACTTTTTTCGTGTAGACTATACATTGTTGTTTGTTTTTAATATTGTAAGAACTACCGATTTGTTGCTACTTTCACACGGATTTTACGTTCAGAAGTGACGTTGCATTGCAGTAGTAGTAGCGTATGAAAATCTACAGGGACAAAGTATTAAGAGAATAGCCATTTCTGAGAATTTTCTGCTATTGGTTTTCTTCTCTGGGGAAACGTAACACGAGTCTACTTGATTTAAATAAAGCTAGCTAACATTATTGAAAAATGCAAAGCTTTATGCCATTGATAATTAAAATTTGAACATTTTAGTCTGATAACTGATTACGTTTCACGTTTTATTTACATTTTATTTATATTATTTTGTACGAGCCTTTATTTTTATACTTGAAAGAAATGCCTCGATATTATGTCAATTCGTAGATTGTAAATAAGTGAATAATTTTAAGATCACTCGATTACAATAGTTATATTTCATTACTTAATTAGTTATTTTTGCGCAGTTTAAAAATATAAAAAGAAAAATGTAGAATGCTACTTAATGAAAACAAACTGACTTCAATTTTTCGTGGAAAAGGAATTTTTTCATGAAAGATGGAACGATAAGTCGCAGATAAGATGCTTAATAATAATTGAAAATCAGTGTAAAAATTTATTATATAAAAATATATGGAAGAATGTCATATATTCCGAGAGATGTCGCCAGATGTACTTACAATCTGTTTAAAATGCTTTAATGTACTAATTTAAGTAATTATATTAATCAATTCAAGTTCAAAACAGTTAGTGATGTAGAAGTATAAGTATTTAGGAATATAGGAAGATAGGGATATGGATATACGAGGTATGGCACAAAAAAAAACGAGACTAGTCCAATAAATCACTGTATCTTCAGAATCAGTTCTCCGTGACATTATCACCTTCAAAATAGTTCCCTTCAGCGTTCACACACTTCTGCATTCAGCGCTGCCATTGCTAGTAACAATTCTGGAACGAAGTTTTTGGAAGTACCTTCGGCAGATTCTCCGTTTCTGCTTGAACCTCTTCAACTGAGATGAAATGGATTCCGTTTAAGCAAAATTTAACTTTAGGAAATAAAAAAAAGTCGCATGAAGTCAAATCAGGTGAATAAGGAGGATGCCCTATCACAGTAATATTTTTGCTGGTCAGAAACTGCTTGACAGACAGTGCCGTGTGAACGGGTGCATTGTCCTAGTGCAACAGCCATCCATCGCTCCACAACTGTGGCCCTTTTTTCCTAATTTTTTCACTAAATCTTTTTAATACTTCAATGTAATAGTGTTGGTTAACAGTCTGACTACTGGGAAACCACTCAATCATTACAATTCCATTAACGTCGAATTTTGATTTTGACATGCATGCTTTTTTGGGTTTTGGGGATCCCGGAGGGAAGATTTCCATTGCATCGACTGGCGCTTACTTTCTGGGTCATAGGTAAAAATCCATGTTTCATCACATGCTACAACAGATTTCAAAAAATTTTACAAGAAACTTGATGTTTATTCGCTGTTCGGGTTTTACATTAGACTTTTTCCCGGCAGAATGCAGTTGCATGTGTTTAGTCAATGATGTAATACTCCCAAAGGGCATGATGGATTAAATCGAAATTGGCAGCATGGATAGAGGATATGTGTGGG